GCCCACAGAATCAAGCCCTGGAGCACCACTTTCCACACACACACACACACACACACACACACACACACACACACACACACACACACACACACACACACACAGACTGCGAGACAATAAACAAGCAAACATCTTCGACTCTACGTCCTGCTGAGGACCTCCTCCATGGTTTGCCAAGAGCTCCTTATTCCCACTCTGTGGTGTAAAAAGCTGATTGGTCCTAAGGCGGCTAGTAAATGTTTCCGCTTCCCTCCTGCTGTGGACGTTTTGATTCTCCTTTCAATTGAAAATTACACGGCAGGATTGGGACGGAAATTAAGATCTAGCACATTTCCTTTCAGTTTGTTCTGTACTTTTGTCTTCAAAAGAGACGTGGAAAATGACTTTTTACAGGGAGGGGAAAGAAAAGATCACATCCGTCTGAATGGAAGTGGTGTGTAGATTGTGTCACACGCACACACGTGGGTGGTGGAAAATGTTTGTTGTAAAGAGTTTTCTATTTATTGTTTTATACTTGTTTGCATAGCTAATTTTTTTTCTCGTTTGGTTTTTTGCTTTGAATTTCTCTGCTGCTTTCGTTGCCTGGCAACTGCGCCAAGCAGATGATGCCAGTAAGGCTGTTTGATGGCGACCATGTGCTTAATGATGCTCACTTTTGTACCAAATGAATTGTGGGTGAGTCAGTGTGAAAACATAATCCAACGAGGACAAAAATGACATGTGGCTTGACAATGACATGTGGCTTGACGTGTACAACATTCAGAAAAAAAAAAGCTTCTTGCTCACTTCCAATTTTATTTTGTGACGCTTTGCCGCAGAAGGATTTTTTTTTTTTTTTTTTTTTTTTTTTTGCGTGTATTCCCCCGCCCCCCAAAGGTGGCTCAACATGCCTGTTCACTTGAGGCAGAAGGGAACATTTGCATCTCCGTCCCTAAAATGCAAGCGACAGAAAAAAAAAACTGAGACTTTAACCCTTTCACTGCCAGACTGGACCTAAAATGAAGAGGAGGGGGATAGAAAGAGAAATCTCCCCTTTCCCCACCCCCCAACCCCAACTTTGTCGTCTCAGTCGTGTCAACATGTATATTGCATGACAAAACCGCAGGAGACATTTTAGATGTTTTGTAAACTTGGAACTCTCTTGAGCATCGTGTTTGTGTGACAGAGCGCCGCCCCAAACCCCAGGTGGACTTCCTGAGCCCATTTACTAAGAAGCGACACCCCCCCCCCCCCCCCCCCCCCCCCCACCCC